GCAGCAGGTGGGACAAATGCCCCAGTGGCAAGTTGAATGGCACCCGGCCTGCTGCTGCTGCTGCTGCTGCAGCAGTGCCAACATCAGCGGCAGCAGGAGGTTCTCGAGCAGGCAACAGCAGCAGCAGCTATATGAGAGCTCAGCAGCAGCAACAGCAGCAGCAGCAGCAAGCGGATTCAGACGAGGAGTACATCGTTGATCTGTCTGGCTGCATCCCCCGACCTCTTCCTTCGCGTCTTCCGCCTCCTCTTGGCTGTTCCTATGAAAACCACAAGCGTTTTCTTTCTCTTGTCAGAAGGTGTGTTGCTGTTCCTGCTGCTGCTGCTGCTGCTGCTGCTGCTTTTGCTGTTGCTGTCGTCGTTGTTGCCTGGTACGGGAAGGGAAGGGAAACGGGGGAGAGCTGCTTCTGCTGCAATTGCTACTGCCACCTGCTGCTGCTGCTTAGATATGCTGCGTCTGTTGTTGCCAGCATATGCTGCTGCTGCCGCATGCATATGGTGCTGCAGTTTCTGCCCATATATACTGTTGCTGGTGCATATATATATATATATATATATATATATGCTGCTGCTGTTGCTGCGTACACATTCTGCTGCTGCTGCTGCTGTTGCGGTTTGTTGCAGCCGGCGTACACTTGGGCAGCAGTGGCGCATCTCCGTGCTGGAGTTGCAGCAGCGGCAGACTGAGCATTTGCTGCAGCGCATTGACGTCAGTACCTCCTGCTGCTGCTACTGAGACTGCTGCTGCTAGTGCAGCTGTTACTGCTGCTGCTATTGCTGCTGCTATTGCTGCTGTTGCTGCTACTCGTGTTGCTGGTGCTGCTACTCCTGCTGTTGGTGCTGCTGCTGGCGCTGCTGCTGTAGGTGCTTATGCTGCTACAGTGTCAGCTACTACCCCCTGCTATATCAGGCTCCTTCAGGTGCAGCAGCTGTTGCTGGTGTTGATGTTGCTGCTGCAATGTATATTCTGTACATATGCCGTTGCGTGTTACGTTTGCTGCAGCACGCTGCTGCTGCATTGGCGGAGCTCGAGGTGCTGCGACAGCTGCTCTCGTCTAAGCAAGCTCCAGGAGGTACGGGCCTGCTGCTGCTTCCGCTGCTGCTGCTGCTGATGGCTTGCTGTTGCTACTGATGCTTGTGGTGGTTGACGCAGTGTTGTTTGTTGTTGCTGTATTTGTGGTGCAACAGGAGGGGTGAAAGCTGTGGACGAGGGCGTGCGTGGTGGGGAAGCAGCAGGCGCAGCAGCAGCAGCAGCAGCAGCAATTTAATAACGCTTTCGTAGCGGCTGCTGCTGCTGCAGCAACGGCGGCAGCAGCAGCAGTGGCTGCTGCTGCACCGCGTGCATGGAGCAGCAGCCGCTGCTGCCCAGATACT